GTTCATCTTTACCCTTGATGAAGCAGTCTGATTGGCCTTGTGTGAACACCCGTTATCGTCGACTGTGCTTTTGTGGTATGACTGAATAATCACCATCGTCGGCCATTGTTGATTTGACTGACTGCCTGATCGTTCAGTTGGAGCTGGTTTTTTGGCCCAGATGCTTGGCAGCTTCCAGAATACGATTTCGATGTGGTTTGGGGGTCTAAAAGGTCATCGGACATTTTCACCTTCCTGAAATCCAATGTGCGCTTCGTGTCCTTTTCCAAATATAAGATTAATATCATTTGTATATTTCAGTTCGGCAAGAATCCCAGATGATGAAAGCTGAATGCTGGGACTTTGGAGACCTGGATTTCACTCGAGTGCCTCAATAATAAACAATATATTAATTTTAAACAAAATCGGATACCACTACTTGTAGGAAAGCGTTCGAATTATTCCTCATTCATCCTGTTGCGCCCAAAAGTATGCACACAGAAAGAAGATTTATGATGCGAGTATTTTAAAAAACGGATCGGTCGATTGGCTCAGTGACACATTTGGGATACAGAAAAACCAAGATTATTGTACGCTTGTGCGCATGTCATTGGTCTAATGCTCGGCGGACTTTGCAGACGTAACAGTCATTTTCCTGCAGTGATTCTGCTCGCTGTTCTTGACTCACGTTTTTAAGCCAACTCATAACATGACGTACAATAACGGATGCAATAAGCCTGGCCACACATGGATCAAGCCAATTTCGCTGTAACTGTCGAACGTATTGCGATGAATTTTTTTAAAAACATATACCTCTGTCGACTCACTCAGTTTAGAGAGAGAGACAAAAAAAATTGAAAGAACAGCGACTAAGCGTTCCGTTGCAATCCCGAGAGTTCCTCTGTGCCTGTCGGTCATATCATTTGGAATGGTTTGCGCACTTCCCTGGATGTTTCGCCTCTTTTCTCTCCTCAGACTTCTAAACTCATCAAGCTTCGCGTTCCCAAAAGATGGCTGTTTTAACCTAACGTACGACAATCCTCGAGTCGTACCGTACTCCCAATGAGGAGTAATGGCTGTGCAAGCTTCAAGCATGCTAATAGTTTTGCTTATTTTCGGGTTCTTAGATACGGCTAGTTCTACAAGTAAAGCGCCCAGTATCTTGCAAGGATCAAAAGCGGCTCTGGTAGGTTTGCCTTAAATCTTAACCAAAGAGCCTCTCAGCAGCCAGTAGTGGCGCACCAATCTTCTGCATCTCCGAAGAGCGAACGAAAAGAAAAAAGGACAAGCAAGGGATCTGGATTCACACAAGTGTTCCAGGCCAACCGAATGTCAGTAACTGACCCACGTTGCTGATGGCTAAGGACCGTGTGGTTTTTCTGGGTTGGGTGTTGGTTAACATGCGGAGGGCGTCAAGCGGACAAGCGGCCTCGGTGGTTTCGGATGCCAGTACTTCACCTGAATAGTATACAGGTAACAGAACTGCAGTTGTGTTTGCTATTATTTGTTCATCTCGAATTCCACTCCAGGATGACCACCCATTTAAGTCTCATCGGCGCTAGGTTCACCCGATTTTGCTTTTGGATCCTCAACAAACACAACAACTTCTGAGCTCCAAGTCGCCTTATTAGAGCGGTAATAGCTTCGTAAATATGCTGGTGAGAGAATAAGGACCACAATCTTGTTAACGAATTACAATGATCAGAGAGTGATTAGCGATTCGTTCACGGGGTAGTTTCATAGACGTTTCCGGACAAAACGCATAGAGGTGACCATCCACGGGCAGCCATTTAAGCACTGACCTCTGAGCTCTGTGGCTAAGAACAATCAACTCCCAGTAGTATCGGCTGCAATGGGTTCCGAATCATCAGAGTTTTGCAACCATAAAAAGAACGGAAACGGATGGAGAGGTCATTTCACTAACTCTACCTCGTTCTCAAGTTCTCCTTTCAAGGAGGGGCAGCAAACCAATAAGAGGCAGATTAAGCTTGTCCGCAAAAAATTTGTGTTGCGCAAAACGCAAGTGTTTAGGGCTTCTAGATGAAATCAACGTTGGGGTTTTAAGTATGGGTTTAATTTGCCTAACGATTGCGATGGCTTGGCTCACCATAGATAGGACAGCGAATGGCGATATACCAGTCCTTAGGAATAGCTCTGTGACCAAGTTGCTAGAAGAGGAAGGAAAACGACCTGCAGTATGCAGCATGTTATATTATTCGGTTGATGACAACGCAACAGGCGATGCGCTATGGGGGTACCTGTAATTGAGCGGCTCATTGTTGTGCGTGGGCTGGGATACTGGCAGATGGCCCAGGCGTAGTCAAGTGGACAATTAGAATCCTCGGTCAAAGTAATTGGCTCAACAGCTTGACCACAACAAAGTAGTAGTTGGCGTACAACCATAGCAATAATCTCTATTTTCACGGAGAAAATCACCACACAGTTTTCGGCCTTCAAGCAGAAGAGCCAGGAGTCTGTGTTAATCGCTGGTATGAGAGGCTCCATGAGTGTCATATGCACACTGGCCGATGTAGCTCTGTGGATCAGGGAGGCGCACAATCCGTCACATCTCTGTAAACCTAAAGCGTGCACACAGTAGGTAACTCGTAAATGGCGAACTCACTTGCTTACTTTAGCCTCCAGACTCATGTTCATACATACATACATACATACATACATACATACATACATACATACATACATACATACATACATACATACATACATACATACATACATACATACATACATACATACATACATACATACATACATACATACATACATACATACATACATACATACATACATACATACATACATACATACATACATACATACATACATACATACATACATACATACATACATACATACATACATACATACATACATACATACATACATACATACATACATACATACATACATACATACATACATACATAAAATATGCACACAAGTAAACACTGATGATGAACATTCTCAAAATCCTAGATGCCCGAATGCCCACGCACGATTCCTCGACAAGGCCAGAATCAGTGGGTTGCCTTTATTGTTCGTTATATACTCACTGAGCTGGACTAACATTGTTCTTTTGAGTCTGCCGGCCGACGTTAATAAGTGGTTTTCATGAAGGGAGCTACTCACAAGTTTGCTGAAAAGTCCTCGACTGTCCACTACTCGCTTCGCCCTTCCTTGAGCTCATCAGGAAGGCGCATTCCCCAGGATTCCGTCAACTCTATGTTTGTTCATATGTCAGTTTCGTTGTCACAGTTTCGTCAGCTTACCTGAAGAGGAATGAACTTCTGAAACTCAAATAACCTCTAACTTAATTCGAAATTCAGCCAGCACTGGGGTCGTTTGTTGCTTGTTTAGCAGCTAACTAGTATCCCAGACTCACGTACAGTTAAATACACGTAGTATCCTGAGTGAACCAATTTGTTGATTTCCTACGCATGACAAATTATACTTCCCATTCAAGTAATCAATAATCTACGTCGTATCAGTTTAGGTCACCTGAATGTCCTACACATGTGATTCTCTAATCGTCAGACAAATTTTGTCCGGTGATATCTTGACATTCTTTCGGATTCTAAACGTTAAAGTTTAAAGACTATATTCCATGGACCCTATAATTAGTACGTAGCGAGCCTGAAGCATACATGTGGTACCTACTCAAAACTGCTTTTAGTCTACTATCCTATTGGACAAACTAGGAGCTACTTTGACTGGAGGCACCAAATAACTCTATTGGCCAAGAATATGGTGTAATAATTGTTCTATGAAGTGAAAGAACTTTGGCACACATGGAGATGTTGGAAACAACGGATGTTGCATATATGCTGTGCAAAGCTGGTTCAAGTTTGGTAGAATATAATCGGAAACATGCTTAGGAGTTCAGCGACCCATTTTGCATACCGGTTTAATTTCTTCAATGGTGGCAGTTTTATCTAAGGCTGTGGTGTGTCAGTTCACTTAAACAATGCACAGATGACATGATTTTAGCATTACCTATTTTCACTGTCCTATACCAATACAACCACAATCTCCCAATTGTGGAAGACAGACAGCCTTTTTAGAGAGAACACAAATTTTTCAGGCTAATGGAAGGAACATTTGTGGGATTTTTTATTGCAGAGAATGTGGAAACACAACAAACATAAAACTTTATTCACTGTTCCGCTCAGAACTGTCCACAAGCCTGCAAACACCGCTTGAACTTATGTACTTGAATAACACAAAGATAATTTATCAACTGCCTTATGGAAACTGTTCATTCAGTTGAATCGTGCGCACACGGCTGAACAATAGCGGTCAAAGCCGGCTTCGCAGTAGTGTGAAGTGATCATTCATTTACTAAAGTTGGTTGAGGATTTATTGTTTACTTTCTACAAAGCACGTCCTTTCTCTCAGCAGTGTCTGGCAATCACTAAATGGCTACCCTCGTTTGCACGGATAAGTGGAATTCCTTCAAAATTTTCTCTGACGTGTACGTAACTTAAGTGGCTGCGTTCTTTCGTTACTCTCTGACTACCTTACAGCGAGTGAACAAACAGTATGGTTCGCTTCAGTCCTCTACTCCGTCTTTTTACTGCGTTACTAAGACCACACTGCCATGAAAGGCTTAAGGAACGTTAAAAACGCTTACTTCCATAAACCGATGGCTAAATTATTTTCCTAATACGCACAGTCTATATGCATACTCAGTGCTTTACTCCGTCGTCGCTCAGTTTATTTAAAGAACTCCCCTTTCTTACGACAAAGTGCTTCCAAAATAGCGCTGCTTCCGATTCAGACGGTATTGTATCGATTAAAAATATATGCTAACAACGTGGCCTGAAAATGTCCTTTAGTCTAAAAAGGTTTGTGAACAATTCCCTGCTAATAAATCATGAAAAATTGCGAACATTCAACAGGTTAGATGAAATTATCCGTTCTATGTCTCGCTATTTCTGCTGCGCTTTTAAGCTACGGAATGGTTTGCGACAACAAGCGACTAATGTTGCGAACGAACACTACTGAGAGCTACTTTAATGTAGCTTTAATGTAGTAGTCACTGACATCCACCGAATCATTTCATTAACACCACTTTCACACACAAAGTCCTCCCTCCCACCCTCCAGCATTTCATCCCGTCTTACAAACTACTTCTGCCTCAAATAACATCATTTATACGTTAAGGGGTACACAATTGCAGAAGTCCCTTTTCTTGAAGGCCAGTAATTTTTAAACGTACAACGACTGAGTAAATATTATGCAACGAGGGTAGAGAGTTCTAAGTAAAACCAAGATTTCTCATTAAAGGAGCGCACTTCGACAGCGCAGTAAAACGATTTCTAGCAGCTTCAAATTGTCCGGAAATATTATATATATATATAT